AAAAGGCCCCCAAACACCAAAAACCGCCCCCAAACATCAAAAAACGCCCCCAAACGCCTTAAAATGGTCCCCAGAACACTTAAAAATGTCCCTAAACGCCTAAAAACGCCCCCAAACACGAAAAAAAGCCCCCCAAACGCCTAAAAACGCCCCCCAAATGCCTAAAAACAGACTCCAGAACACTTTAAAACACCCCCAAACGCCTAAAAAAGCCCCCAACACCAAAAAACGCCCCCCAACCGCATAAAAACGCCCCCTTAACGCCTAAAAACGGCCCCCAGAATGCCTGAAAACAACCCCAGACACCAGAAACGCCCCCAAACGCCTAAAAACGCCCCCAAAACATGCCCAAAAGCCACCCAAATCATGCGAATCGCCCTTAAACACACAGAAACAACCCAAAACGCCTCCAAACCCCCCCAAAACCAACCCAAAACACCTAAAAACATCCCGACCCCACCGAATCACCCCCAAACACCCCAAAACACCCCCAAACACCCAACGTGCCCCCCAAACTACCCCAAAAGTGCCCCAAAACGCTCCCAAACGCCCCCAAACACCCAAACCCATCCCCTAAGGGGGGGGGATCCATAGGGACATATGGGGTGTCCCTGGGGGGGGCGCTGGTGTCACAGTGGGTGCCAATGGGTGATCAATGGGTGTCAATGGGTGCCAATGGGTGATCAATGGCTATCACTGGGTGTCAGTGCGTGTCAATGGATGCTAATGGAGTATCCATGGGTGCCAATGGGTGTCAATGGGTGCCAATGGGTGATCAATGGGTGCCAATATGTGATCAGTGAGTGTCAATGGCTGCCAATGGGGTATCAATGAGTACCAATATGTGATCAATGAGTGCCAGTGGGTGTCAATGGGTGATCAGTGGTTATCAATGGGTGTCAATGGCTGCCAATGTGGTATCAATGGGTGCCAATATGTGATCAGTGGGTGCCAATGGGTGTCAATGGTTATCAATGGGTGTCAATGGGTGATCAATGGCTATCAATGGGTGATCAATGACTGTCAATGGGTGCCAATGTGTGATCAATGACTGTCAATGGGTGATCAATGGCTATCAATGGGTGCCAATGGGTGTCAATAGGTGATCAATGGCTATAAATGGGTGTCAGTGCGTGTCAATGGATGCTAATGGAGTATCCATAGGTGCCAATGGGTGATCAATGGGTGCCAGTAGTTGATCAGTGAATGTCAATTGGTGCCAATGGGTGATCAATGGGTGCCAATGGGGTATCAATGGGTG